GACCAGCAGCCTGGCATCTTCTACTGTAAGAGGTAGTGAGAAGATGCCTGCTGTGAAGAGATCGAGGGTATATCACGTGCTCAGAGAAATCAAGGAACTTCATACACAACTGTGGGAAGAGAGTCTTTGAAAATCTGAAATAAAATCGCTGTCAGGCTCCTTGTGGGTATTACCTGAACAGCGGCAGCTTTAATGATGCCAAGGATAAACAAAACTTGGAGAAAGCGTGTTTCTGGGGTGTCGGACACTGCAGGGAAATGTGCTGTACTTGTCTGTGAGGACAAATTATTAGGAACATTATAGCTTTTTTCTTCAGCTTTAACAGCGAAAAGTAATAAGGGAAGTCATCTGCTCTTGAAGAACATGTATTGCTGAAGTGTCTTCAATTTATGCTGATGTGAGAGTCTCTCCAGTCTTAAAACAGAAAGAGGGGGTGAGGGAGAAACAACAAAAAACCATTGGTTTGAAAGTACGACTGTCTTAACAACCTCTTTATACTGTCCACAGGAATTCACCCCACCATCATTTCAGAGTCATTCCAGAAAGCTTTAGATAAAGGTATTGAAGTATTGACCAACATGGCACAGCCAGTTGAACTGAGTGACAGAGAAACCTTGCTAAATAGTGCAACTACATCGCTGAATTCAAAGGTATGACTGAAACTAGAACTTAGTACGTCCCTGAAACTGGAACTTAGTACCTCCAGACTAGCCAAGCCTGCAGCTTTTCCCAGGCCATGCTATTGTTCGCTTATTAAGAACAGCCTGCGGATCATAAATCGAGTTGGTTTTCAGACATTGACTGCCTTCTCTTAGGCCATGGTTGATGGAGATTAAATCAAAGCACTCAAACTGAAGTTCAGTCTGAAATATTTAGCGATCTCAGATGTTAACTGTAAGTGTAAAATAAAGAAGCTTCAACTGAAAACAGCAGCAGGAAAATGAGGTGGGGTAGAGAGAGCTTTTGCCAACTTCTTGTGTAGGCAGTTCTTCGTCGTGTGACAGAAACCCCTGAGACAGTGTTGAAATCTGAAGAAGTGTGCCAGCTTCCCTTCCAGCAGAATAACCTGGGAAGCTCTCAAAAGTCTTACTTCAAGACTCTAAGAGAAGTTAAAGTTTCTTCTGTATGTCCCTAGGCATAGGTTTTACCTACCGACATAGCTGCTCTTCCGTTTAAATGGGTTAACCATTAAGAAGATGCTGTGTTAAGACATCTGGTTGATGGACAGGGAGGGAAAACTTCTAATTCAAACACTGAAATACAATGACAATATTATTTTGAAATTACTGTTTATCAGTGCTAAATCACTCACTTTTTTTTTTTCTTTACTCTTAAATCCCTTAGGTCGTGTGTCAATATTCTAGTTTACTTTCTCCAATGAGTGTGGATGCAGTCATGAAGGTGATTGACCCAACTACAGCTAGTAGTGTTGACCTCAGAGATATTAAAATCGTTAAGAAGCTAGGGTAAGAAACAGTTGTGTAATGAGACAAATTTTGTGTCTGTGAAATCAGCTTCCCAAAGTGCTAGAATCACGGATTGGTTTTGTTTCCAGAGGCACAATCGACGATTGCGAACTGGTTGAAGGACTAGTCCTGACTCAGAAGGTGGCAAATACCGGTGTAACCAGAGTGGAAAAAGCCAAAATTGGCCTCATTCAGTTCTGCTTGTCTGCTCCAAAGACAGATGTAAGTTAAAACTATGATTAGAGCAAAATCCTTTTGCTGTAGCACTTGGGAGAGATGTAAATGTAATGATAAAACACCTTTTTTTAAGATGATGTGATGTCAGCTCTGTTCCACGGCTATAATGAAGTTTGGGTAATGCTGGGTGATGCGCAGATACTTTTAAAGAACTTAAGAGTTGGTGTAAGAAAGAAAATAGCTCAGAAGTCCAGTATTTCTCGTCATTTAAGTGGTGTCTGAGACAACATATTTTACTGTCATGCTTATTTGCTTTGAATCACAGGCTCCGAAGTTAAAGAACATGAAACATCTTGATGCTTGCTTTTGAAGTCAGCAGTAGTTCATAATACTTGCTTTTATCTTTTTTTTTTTTTTTCTTTTTTAAATAGATGGACAACCAAATAGTTGTTTCTGATTATGCTCAAATGGACAGAGTACTGCGTGAAGAGAGAGCTTATATTCTAAATTTAGTTAAGCAAATTAAGAAGGCTGGATGCAATGTGCTGCTGATTCAGAAGTCGATTCTGCGGTATGTTTAATACTGATTTACTGGCTTGCGGTGTGTGCTTGGGGGAGCAGTTGGAATTGTTTGGAAAATTGAACCCAAATACTACAGTCATACTTGGCAGGGTGTCAAGACTGGCTGTAATGGTGGCTGTACCTTTAGAAAGCACCGGGGTGGTCTGTATTTTGAGTTTAGTGACATCCCTCCCTACTTTGTAGTCTGAAGAATTTCAGCCCTGCTGGTAAGAACCGTGCAGCTGGCTGGCGTGACCTGGTTACTAAAAGAGCACTTTGGACTGACTACTTCCCTTTTGTTTTTAGGGATGCTCTTAGTGACCTAGCCCTCCATTTTCTGAACAAAATGAAGATCATGGTGGTCAAAGACATTGAAAGAGATGACATTGAGTTTATATGTAAGGTAAAGTGAGTTATGTAAATGGCTGTTAAGGTATTAGCAGTATTTAAAGTCTACCCCAAAATGAAGTACCCAGCCAGGGCCAGTTTATTATGACACTTTCACAAGTTTCATGTTCTGACTATAATGTAAGAGCAGGCATTTCCCTAAAAAACATTCCCATTCCGTTGAGGAGTCACACTTCTGGAAACTAGTCTGAACTGCACTTTACTGTAACGGTGCAGAAGGACATGATGCAGTTCACTTGCTAACTTTGTGGTTCAGGTTCTGAGTAATTTTTTTTTGTCCCCCCCATTATTTTTTCAGACAATTGGAACAAAGCCTGTTGCTCATATTGACCAGTTTACTCCTGATATGCTGGGGTCTGCTGAGCTGGCTGAGGAGGTCAACTTGAACAGTTCTGGGAAACTAATAAAGGTGGGTGAGTGAGTCACAGAAGGTTAATACCTACTTAACATCTGCCAATTATTTTAATAACAACTGCTAACTTTAATGGGTTTTGCTACTGAAGTTAGTACATTTACGTACCTGCTTTTAATCTCTTGAGTCTTGCTTTGCTGTTACAGAATTCACAAATACCAACTGAAGGCTCTTTTTGACCAGAACCTTTTTTTTGGTCTTAGTATTTGGGTTTATGTTTTAGATTACGGGCTGCACAAACCCTGGAAAAACTGTAACCATCGTGGTACGTGGATCCAACAAACTTGTTCTAGAAGAAGCTGAGCGTTCAATTCACGATGCCCTGTGTGTCATAAGATGCTTAGTTAAGAAAAGGTAACGTCTCAGTTTGGTGAGAGTGATTAGCTTTCTGTATTACTATTAATAAAATATTTATGCACTTCTGTAAATGAGGTTTGATTCTTAATTTCTCTTCTCAGAGCTTTAATTGCAGGAGGTGGGGCACCGGAGATAGAGTTGGCACTGCGCTTGAATGAGTATGCTCGCACTTTGAGGGGCATGGACTCGTACTGTGTCCGTGCGTATGGAGACGCGCTAGAAGTCATACCGTCAACGCTGGCTGAAAACGCGGGTCTCAATCCAATTTCAACGGTAACTGAGCTGAGAAACAGACATGCTCAAGGAGAGAAAACAGCTGGCATTAATGTCAGAAAGGTAATGAGGACTTGTATAGGCGTAGCATAGCTTAAAAAGACACCTGGGCATTAAAAGGAAAATGCTTAGCATTAGCTAAGCTACGGAGAGGGCAAGTTTGTGTCTCACAACACATACTTTCCCCAAAACTAACATTGAGGTAGATTATAGCTTGTTCTCTGAGGCTTTAACAGCTTACCTGAGCATTGATGATAGCAGATACTTAAACACCATACCCACAGCACAAGAAACTTCCTGTGTCTCTTCAAAAACACAGTTTCAGCTACAAAACCAGATCAATTCAGAACACTCCATCAGTGCTATCAGCAGTGGAAGGCGCTCACCCATTAGGAGCAGCACAGCAGGCTAGCTGCTTTTACACTGTCACAACTACATTTACTTCTTCTCTTGGCTAATTTTGACTGGGTAGGTCCAGTGCTTGGGGGGAGATGATGTGTACCGTAATATCCCTCTTGAGGATGTAAGAGACAAGCCCTTTGATAGTCTTAATTTAGAGCTGACTGTCCATCTCGGGATTCTATTAAAAGGAAACCTGCTAAATCTAACTGTAGCCTGAGTTGCATGGAGTAAAAGCTGCTTGTTCTCTGCTTGTAGGGTGGCATTTCCAACATCTTGGAGGAGCTGGTCGTCCAGCCACTGCTGGTGTCTTTGAGTGCACTGACTCTTGCGACAGAAACCGTGCGCAGTATTCTTAAGATTGATGATGTGGTGAGTAGCGTTTGCATCGCCTTTTGTTTAATCTTTCTTTTTTCCACAAGCAGCAGGATGGCTATTGTCTTCCAATTTGCTGTGCTTCGGTTACTGTGTCGCATTCCCAGTTTGCGTGCTACTTTGACCATTGGGACTTCTAATAACGGCAACTGGAGCAAAATGAAATGCGTTATAAATACCCTACCTTAAAGTAGGGAGTTAAAGTCTATAAAAAACCATGGTCCTTAAGCAGAGAAGTAATTGTTACATATCCTGTGAACTTTTTATGCCTGACTATGTGAACTCTTCTTTGCAGGTGAACACTCGGTAAGCTGAAGAGAGAAAGCGGGGACTGCCCTACAGCTCCTTCCCTGTAGGCTGGAATACGGTTTCCTCACCAAAAGCGCCTGTGTGAATTGTCTTAAAGTCCACAGAGGCTTACGGACTTTTATTGCGTTAATTTAAAAAAAAAAAAAAATTGTTTTCAAGAAGGAAATGCTGTTTATCAATAAACATGCAGTAGTCTACCTGAGTCTTTGCTTTTATAATTTTGCTAGAAATAAGGTAAACTTGTTGCATTTGCTTATTGGTGCTATGTGCTCCTACTTATCTCTGAAAAGTTTTTAACAGCAGTTAGCTTTTGTAATATACTCTAAAAACACCTTTCACTTTGCACTCTAATAATGTGCCAGCTTAGAGCTGCTTCTCTAAAAGTTTTTCCTATTTCCCTTAACTATGGCTGGCCAGCGCACAGGAGCATCTTTGCAGTGATGGTGCGTTCCTTGCTCTGTTTTCTCTCCTGAGGATCCCTGACAATTCCTGATGCCATCACATGAGCCAGAGCATCCCAATGGGCAGCCTTTATGTGCTGCTTTTTGTACTTCATCCAGCAGTGAAGTGTAAGCATCAAAACTCAACCTAGTTCTAAACAGGCAAGGATAATACCTGTAGCTAGGCTTCTCTTGTATTAATAGGGGTTTATTTAAAATCGAGTTTGGTGCCTCTCTCTGAAACAGCTGTAACTGTTTCGTTGGTTGCTTCCATTTTGGTGGTCGTCCACACCCAGTGCTGTTTAAGAAAACCCCAGGGGTGAAAACATTTTGGATGACTTTGCTAATCCATCCCCCTCCCACCCCCTCCAAATTAATTGGTTTTCCCAAAACTCATGCAAATTAAGCTTTTCTAAAACAAGCAGACAGACATGAGCTGGTGTCATCACTGAAGTGAGAGGCGACACAAGGGTTCTCAGCTATCAGGAAAATCCTGGCTGCCCCAGGATTCATTTCATTCAGAGTTAATTTAATTTGTTCTTTATGTTACATCCTTCTAATTCTCTGCCTGAAATTCTGAATTAACCCTTTTGTCTTCACCATTGTTACACTGAGATGACCGGACTCCTAGGTATAAAGGAGGTATTTCTTTTAACTCATTTCTATTCTGAGCAGTTGGAGCTGTAGCCTTAGAGTAATCCTCCACCACTTTGTTGACCAGCTATTGTTGAGATACTTACCTGTGACTTAGTAGAATATTCAGAATAATTCAAAATACTAATAAAGCAAATGATCAATTTAGGCACCAATGCTCTGTATGAATTATTTATTGGCTGTTTGAAGTTACAAATGATGCCTTACCCCACAGGATTACATCCAGCAAGGGCCTCTGTTAATTTAGGTATTCGCTTGGATGAAAGCTTTCCTTCCCCACCACCACAAACTTCCAATTCTGGACAAATTACAACATCTATTTGTGGGTGATGCAATCTTTTTGTCTGTTTCTTTACATAAGTGTTTGTAACTTCACTACAATAAATGGGCCCAGCAATCGTTAACGCCTCTCTGCAGAGGTGGGAGGATATTCCTG